CCCCCCGTTCACAATACAGTTAATGAACCCCAGTGGTGCTTAACCGCCTCACAGCTTCCCGGTTCAATCCCGAGCTCGGGTTACTGTCCGTGTGGAATTTAAATGTATAAATGTACTTCCCATGTCCACGTGGGTGTCCTCGTTTCTCGGTTTCCTTCCACACAGTAACAGTAGGTGGTTTGGCTATGCTAAGTCGCCCCTCGGTGCGAATGAGGCTGTTTCTACGTACGTGCACGGTGCTCAGCTCAGGATGTACTCTCACCGCCTCACACCCAGTATTCTCAGAATAAGCTCCGGATCCATCACGAAGGATCAAGTGCTTACTGAAGATGAAAACTGAACATAGAAAGTCTTGGAAAGATCTGGAAGGTCACCAATAAATAGTATATATATATATATATATAGTGTGTGTTTACAACAGGCATCTTCACAAGTAAGTCTGATGAAATTCCATAAAAGTCTGAGAGTCAGTGAAATGCTCTAAACCTGCGTTCACACAGGACAGTGGAAAAGCAGAAGACTACTGCTAATTTTTTTTTAAAACAACTTTGCAACTCTGAGCCATAATTCTTATAAATTTGAATTTCTAATTTCTTCATTTTTTGCAAATTAGTTGTGTGACGAATGGCCACGACTGGCTCAAGCAAATTCCTCACTGCAAAAAATGATTTATTATAAATTAAATCTAAGATTATTCAGCCTTATTTCAAGCTTTAATTGTTCTTATTCTACAGGCATACTGCGTACTGGTTCTTATTCTTCCTTCCAGCTTGAAGCTCGAAATGAGTTAAAATGCCTGGGAATAGGTTTAATAATCTTAAATTTGCTTTATTAAAATCTTATAGTAGGAAATACTTGTTACATTTGAATGTATTCAAGATATGATATTTTCACTTGCTAAGATGTTTCTTGTAGTGCTTGCTCCAGTCCTTATTCAGGTTGTACAATATCCTCCTAATTGTCTACACAAAAAAAAAATGGAGAGAACAGAGGTTTTTAGAGAATATTACAAAATGTAAAAATACATTTTGAACAAAAGTAACTTGACGAGTTAGAGGAGATGGTGTACGTTTCACCTACTACCATGTCCTATCGTGATTTTTATTAAAAGCTGGACAGGGCATGCCAGGCCGGACGTTGTTAAGGTCTGGGCCTGGGATAAAACCTTCAGTTTGAACTAAATTATGTTGATCAGAAAAGCCTATTTCACGGTTAACGATCCACTGGGCTAGGGAAAACCTCCCTGCTTTGGAAACGCAAACAAGAGGCAAAACTGAGCCCCGGTTTTTGATCGGATTGCTGACGATTTGACATGACTCGGACATTCTCAAAGGCTTAAGATGTTAACTAGACTGTGCCGCTTATCTTGGACCGACTCTTGGACTAACATCAGATCTTTGGTGTGCATGTAAACATAGTTACTGTTAAATGCACTAAAAGTGATTAAAATGCCTGTGAGGCCAGAGAAAGGGGAAAATGCATAAAGTCTTCAAACACACACATACATCTTGATGCAAGGATGCTAATAAAAATACATACAGTACACGAACTCTCTCTCTCACACACACACACCTCGGGACTACTACAGACATGTCACTCAGTGAGTTTTATTTGAATTACTGGTAATTTGCGCTCTGGGAATCTCTGGTGTTTCTGTATCTTGATTGTATTTGATATTGATTTTCTACAGAATGTGAGATTAAATACCTCTTCTATGTTGAATGTTCTTGATTTAAACAAATATGAAATGTGTTGACTGGTGAAACATGAACTGCTTTGCATTTGGACATTGACGAAGCATGCCATAATGTACTTCTTGAGGTCTTTTTTTTTTTTTTTTTTGGAAATATAAAGTTGAAAACTACATCATCGCCTCTGTTTGTTCTTTCACATGGGTTAACTATCAACTGTGTGCAAATAGTTATTTTGAAGTCCATCTCTTTTTTTTAAGCTTCATTTTCTTTCTTCGTCCGCATTTGCTCTGGAATCCAAGTCAAAACACTAAAAACAAGTAAATGTGTTATGACACTGCTAGATGAAATTTTCAATTAGAGAGGCTCTTTAAAACTGTAAATACATTTAATAACATTTTTATTTTGTCCAGCAAACGTTATTTTAATTTATTCAATGCTAAGAACTGTTTAATGATAATTTATATGATAATAGAAAGCTCCATTCTGCTTCTTTGGTGGAGTTTCCAATTTCCTGGAAGAACCTAAAACTAAAAATAAAATGATTTTACTTTTTGCAAAATTATTCAACCCCCTGGGATTGATCAAATTTGTCTGAACAACAAATGATAAAACACAGGATACTCTTTCAGTCAGTATTTTTTATTTCAAACTCACTCTCTTACTTATTCTTTATCAAAATTAATTACTGGTCAGCAAGTACTTCAGAGAAAATCAAAAACTAAAAAAAAGCTGCTTGCATAAGTATAAGTATTCAACCCCCGAAGTTCCAGAAGCTCCAGATGAAAGATATTATCTTAACGAGGATGTTGCACCTATACCTGTGCAATTTTCAAACAGCTCAGTTGAACTGTCATTTAAGAGACTGTCAGTCGGAAGGAAAGAAGGGAAAATGAAGTTAAAGATAAGCTAATGTGTGAAGATCTGTGTTTTTTTGTGTGTGTGTGTGTGTGTAATGAGACCAAGGAAGATTGAGATACTGCATTTGGGCAAGATTCAAAGTGCTGTGTTCTAACGCAGACCATACCTCAATTATCATCATCATCCTTACAGTGAAACATGGTGGTGGCAGCATCATGCTAGACACTTTTTATGCTCAGACCTCTTTCAGGCTGCTAGAGAGAGAGAGAGAGAGATGAGGTTAATGTTAATGTTCTACAGTGGCCAAGGTAGAACAAAAAAAGGTTAATGTTCTACTGTTTGAAAATTGAAGTCAATAAAACATTCCACCAACCTAAAGAACCTGGAGCAAATCTGCCAGGAAGAATGGGTGAAAATCACTCCCAAACAGTAACAGTAGGCAAAGCTGGTAGGAACTTACCCCAAGACACTTTAAACTGCAAAAGGTGGTTCTACCAATACTAATCTGAAGGGGTTGAATACTTATGCAAGCAACATTTCTCAGTGTCATTTGTAGTCCAGGTGAATCTGTTGAATACTTTTGCACTGTATATAATTAATTCCCAATAGTCCAACATTGCAGTGTAACTGAAAAGGACAGAAAAATAACAATAAATTATAAGCCTCCAAAAGGCCTCAACAGAGTTAAACCAATCTTTATTTCATATTTATTACTGACAATAATAAAACGCAAGGCAAGCTAGGCTAACTAGTTAGCTGAAAGTAGACTGCTAAGAGTGTTTTTATGGTTACAGTGTGCACGTCGCATGAGCAGGGTTTTTTTTTCCGTGTCAACACAAAAGCCACTTTAACTAATGTCTTGTTCGATTTAAAAAATGAAAATAAAAGTATGACTTGAAAAACTGTCACGTGTGAAAGCACTCAGATGTGGATGACCCGGACGACAGACCAGCATTTTAAGCCCTCTATCGGGTGCTGTGACTGGTGTACGGTGGACATTTGTACTCTAGATGGCGGTGTTTAGTTATAATGTGGTGGACCAACTGTCCACTTTGCCACAGAACATACAGTATAGACAAAAATAAGTACACAAACAAACTCAGGTTTTTTGTCACTTCTGAACAGTGACTTTGCTATCCAGAAAGATGATTTGACAGACTTGGATACATTTGCTATAAATGGGAAAGTCAGTTGTTCTTTCAGCTGCTCCTGTCAGGGGTCGCCACAGCAGATCACCTTCCACCGTCCGCACAGGTTTTACACCTGATGCCCTTCCTAACGCAACCCTCCCTATCTATCCGGGCTTGGGCACAGCACCAAGAGTACACCAGTGGCTTGGGTCCAGCATGGGGGTCAAACCCCAACTGTGCGATCAAGAGTCCCATGCTCTACCACCTGAGCTAGCCGAGTGCCCATAAACAGGGAAGTCAATTAAACGACTAAATAAAGCTCTACACGCCACTACACTCTCTGAAAAAAGGTACCATACTGCACTTTTCCTTATCGCTCTGGTGGTACCATACTGCACTTTTCCTTATCGCTCTGGTGGTACCATTAAGGAGACATCTGATGTACTTTTAATAGGAACATCTTTCACCAGGAAACATGAATACAGTATAACTATAGAAATAATTTAAAGGTACATATTTGGACCTCAAGGGCCACCAAGTACCTTTAAAAGTAAAATTTACATCAACATACATCTCCGCATAGTGAACCACTAATATAGTCCATCATGAATGTATAATTGTGCAAGTCAATAAAGAACCTGCGTATGCTGTTATGCATACAGTTCATACAACATTTACTCATGAATATGCGATTTTAATAATTAAATATAATGACAACATATTTGCACATAGCAGCATATACAGAAAATATACAGTACGTAACATGGTGTGTTAAAGCAGTGAAAGTAAAGAAGGACACTGCAGACGCTCGTGACCGTATTCATTTCACGTATACAGTCCAAAAGTATTGGAACGGCACATGATGAATGAGACGATAGGTCACAATTTCAACTTTCACTTCCGGATATTTACATCTCATCTAGATGTAAAATGTACACATTTAGATAATTATCTGGAAATGAAAGCTGAAATTCTAATCGAATCATCTCATATTCATCTTTTGATCTGAAACCCAAATGTCTTCAGTGTAAAGCAAAAACAAAAGAATTGGCCTTGCTGTTCCAATACTTTCAGAGGGGACTGTAGCAACATTTAAGGACATGTAGCAGCATTTATCAATCCTATGCATTTCCTCATTTCAGAATTTTCCCTGTTCCAACTTGCCCAGGTTCATTCATTAGATAAAATCAAGCTCATCTTGAGTCATGTGTTCGAGCACGAATAGCACGCAGCAGATCAAGAACACATCTCTAAACTGTACTCCCAGTACTGTCAGCCTTTTTCCCTTTACGCACTGATTCAAATTTAACCTTATTGGTCATTTGTAGGTTTTTCCAAACCGAGAATCAAATCAAGCAACAAATCAGTCATTGGGTTAAGTCACTGAAACGTGCTGAAAATTTTCTCCAAACTTTATTCTTTTAAAGTCAGCTTCATATTCTATTAAGAAACATCAAATGCTTTTACACAGTAACATCAAATACAGCCTTACTGCTGAACAGCAACTCACAGAAGACAAAATATAGAGGACACATAGATATAGACTCGTTCAAAGGTTAAAACTGTTCCGCTATGGCACACGTGAAAGTACCGAAAGGAAGGAAAAAGACCACCAGATTCAGAGAAAGTTGTTACACCATTCGGCCAGACACTGAGAACAGGAGGCCGCTTGCCTCGAATTGGCCCCGCTGGTGTCCTTCAGCCACTCGGAGAACAGTTCGCAGTCCTTCCTCAGCAAAAGGAACTGTCCCAACACTACAAATGCCTGAAACATACAGGAGTGCCACTGATTAACATCAAGGGTCAGATGTTTATAGCATGTTTACAAGTCTATTGCATTTATAGGTGAAGAGCACATTGTTCTCAACAAGACCTTCTCCAAATCATCTCTCCTTTATACAGCTTAAAATGCCAAAATACCTAGATCCTCTCCAGTTTTTACCCCACAGCTCACTGCCATTGGCACTGCATCTCATTGCCTAGTTATCATAGAACATGTTTTCTGTGAACATGTTCCGCTTTGCTACCAGTTCTGGATGTTGTTCCACCAGCTTATACTGCTTGTAGGTGGAGAATAAGCCTGGCAGTTGTGTCATAAATGTAACTATGAATACATTTGCAAATCTTATTTGGCCTTATTAGCAAGGCAAAACTATCAGATTCCAATGTTCAAGGTTTTCACTGTTCTTTCGTTTTAGCTTCACCTAAACGGTCACCTCGAAACCCTTTGCCAAATATCACATCGAATTTAAGAAACAGACAATATCTCGATGGAAAAATTGGAAATTTAATCAGGAATTGGTGAACCCTTAATTAAAATGTTAAGTATAATGCTTAAACAAAGGGCTTCCCTTTCAGAGAAACAGTCAAAGTAGAACCTCTTAGGAAAGGTAAGAAAGAATGCTTAAATATCCAAGGAAGCCTAAGAAACACATAGATAGAGGAGGGGAAGAAAAGACAGGGGAACACTACAAGCCCACCATTTTGTAGGCTTGTCATTGAGCTCACTTTGTCAAAGCCCTGCTCTTCAAGCTTCTTGCCCAGAACATCTCCGATGCCCGACAGCGCAGTGACCGGTTTATCCCCCATGGGCTCGGCCACGAAGTCCCTGTGCTTCTGAGAGGTGGTTGACATCCCCGGACTGTTTGCTGCCCAAGTTAAGTTATAGCTGCTGCTGCTTGTGGAAACGGCGAGATGAAGTGAAACTGAAGATCTATACTGGAAGCATTAAGGGCACATCTGGAAAGGAAAGGTTACAAAGAACTCAAGACAATGTGAAGTACCAAATACACATTCGGTCCTTATTAGCAATTGGTAACATCTCTTTTTTTTTGTTGTTGTTGTTTGTTTCCTGAGGTTTGGTCTCTTTAGACACAATTTTGACTTGTTTATAAAGGTGTTTTAAGGTACTTTATGAACGCACAAGTCTTTTTTTTAATTATTTTGCAGGTTAAACTATTGATATTTTTCACCATTAGCATTGCAGCTTTCGGAATATCAAGAGAAAGATCCGAAATTGACAGTGTTTAATCTGACAAGTGACAAATTAGTCATGTGATTTAAAAAAATAAAATAAAATAAAAAAAATAAACACAACATGGTATCAAATGCCAGATGTGGTGCTGGCGATGGTTCCTTTAGTTGATCAGCTTGCACATTGGTGGTGCGAAGTTTGGTGTTACAGTTTGAAGTGACTAAGCAGCAGATTTTGTTCAGTCAACAAAACCATGTAGCACAGAATACATTCAGTGGTTTGTTTCTTACATCATATCATCATGGTAGATAAACATGCATCTTGTTGCAACAGAAAACCAAAACATGTTAATATGGCAACAGGAAACCAAGAAACAACAACAAGGCATCATGGCCATGAAGAGGATGCCATTTTTACACAGAGGCTCACAGAACACAAATGGAGGCATGAAACATGAAATGTTTGTTTAGGGTTGTCCTGGGAACCTTTGTGTGTCTTTACTGAAATGAAAATTCACGTTTCAAGAATCTTTGCAACAGTTTTGCTGGTGAGACCATCCAAAAACCCTCCAAAAAGATTTGCTTCAATACAACTTATACTGAGCATCAAAACAAAGACATGAATCTATCCAGTACTTGCTCATCACATTCTACTGAATCCAAACCAAGCAACATGAGCACAATATCCCAGGACAACACTCTCACCCACACCTTATTTATAAGTGTAAGCTAAAATAATCGCCAGCGGTGAATTAATCCTCAGTGTTAAATGCACACCAAAATCAAGTCCACAATTCCGGCTTAAAGGAAAACTTCTTTACTTACTGTTGTAGTAAACAGTAGGTGACATTCAATCTCCCTTTACACCAGTGTTCCAGTTTCAGTGACTCCTGACGGATTTACTTTCTAATTGCATGTCTCACTCTCACCTGCACAGGTGAATCACTTTTTTTAAAAAAAACAACCAATCAGGAGAAAGAACCCGTCTTATGAGGAGCACAGGGATGATCACATGGTTCATTACTAACTGCGTGGAAGTGAATCTGTTTGAGTGCTTGCACTGAAATGCTTCATTATTTTGAACAGTTTTAACCCTTTCATGCATAAATTATAAAACATATTTAGATTTTTTTTCGAGATGGTTTTATTACCCGATAATTGCATAAAAATTCAAATTAATTTTAACTTAACTGAAGTCAGCAGGCGTCAAAGGACATTAAATAAGTGAAGTGGGATGAAAACATTATTGCTGAGAAACACTTGCAGCATGTTAGGTCTAAAGTATTACACGTCAGCATGATTTTTTAAAATGTTGATGTCCAAGCTTATTGAAAATACCATTTTTTAATAATCTACCAGTTATATGGTGTCTTATTTTGAAAAAAAAAAAAGCTAATGTTTTTTTCAAAAGATAATTTTTTTTACTCGATAAGGCCTTTTGTGTAGAGAGTTTAGAAAGAAATGCCTGAGATGTGCTGCTTCTGTCTCCACTGTGAATTGAGAGGTGAACACTTAATGGATTAATTAGTTCTTTGGAGGTAATTTCTCCATTCATCCATCCATCCATCCATTTGTTTACTGTACCACTTATCCTACACAGTGTCATGGGAGAGCCTGGAGCCTATCCCAAGGGACTCGGGGCACAAGGCAGGGGACAATCACACACACACACACACACACACACACACACACTCACATGGAGGTGATTTATATCCTATACATTTTTCTAAACTGCCTTAAACGAACAGTCTGTGAGTGTGGACACCACGCATGAAAGGGTAAAAGTACACTCTAATGACATAAAGGTTTGTTGTTGTTGTTAAAATTACCATTCGGTGAGACAGTCTACAGAAACCCTAGATCTTGCAGGAACCTTTGTTTTTGTTTTTTTAAAGTGTAATGCTTTTTTTTTTTTTTAGCTATCATTCAAAGTAATATGGTAGAATGTGCAAATTCTTTATGTGTGGATAATATAAAGTAATTCTAAATGTGCCTATGCAGATGGTTGGTGTTGATAACAGATTAAAATTAATTTAGAAAGACTTCGATTATTTTACTGAGATCATTACCAAATCTCAGCCTCTCTGTGACCTTGATGTCACCTTCACAGCTCTCAGTGCAGCCTGTTCTTCGTAGTCCAAACAGCTCCACAGTTTACGTGACTGGCTGTGGTTTGAACTTGCCAGTGTTTACATGGCATTCCCCTTTTACCCCAAACGTACTCCATCAGCCAAGACAGGGTGTGTGTTTGCTGCTTTTAGTTTTGCACTGGAGCTATAAGGCTAATGCTAACGTTGCCAGGATTGC